ACGCGCGGGCTGTCTGCCTTTGACGCCTTCCAGTTGATGCGGATCTGGTCGAGGGGCGCCTGCGCCCACGTCCAGCGCGCGCTTCCGCTCACGGCGGCATGGGGCCGCCGGGTGGATGACGGAGTGGTCGCCTTCGTCAACGCCCTTCTGGGGGTCACGGCCGCCCCCCGAGAGCAGATCTTCATGAAGGTCAGCGACGGAGGTTTGGGCTGTGGCAGCGCCGAACAGCGCGGCCCCGCGGCCCTCCTGGCGTCCTGGGAAGCCGGGATCCACGCGGCTGCCCAGGAGCTCCGCGAGACGACAACGATTGGCTTCTTCCGGCGGTGGCTGGGCCTTAGCCGCGCCCCCTCGGCGGCGGACGAGGAGCAGGGACGGTTGGCAGGAGGCCGTCGCCCCCGGGGTGATCGTTGGCAGGGCCTCTTGGAAGGGCGGAGGGGCAAGGGCCAGAAGACGTACACCCAGCATGTACGGGGCCGCGCCGCCAAGACCTTCTTGGCCGCGCTGCCGGCGACGGCGGCGGCGGCGGTGCATAGTGCCTCGGGCAGCTCAGCGGGCGCCTGGTTGGATAACTTCGAGGGGGTTTCGCCCCTCGCCGACCACGCGTTCTGCATTGCGGCCAAGAGGCGCATGCATTTGCCGCTGCTGCAGTCCGAGTGCACGTGCCAGAACCGGCCGGCGGCGCCCACTCGCGCGGTGGCGCAGGCCGGCCCGGCGTGTGGCTGCACGGTGGACGTCCGCTGCGTTCGCGCGCTCAACTGCCCCCGGGGAGGTGGCCCGGTGCGCCGCCACAACGCCATTCGAGATGCTGTGGCGCTCTGGTTGCGCGGGGTGGGCCATCGCGCCCTCGTGGAGCAGGTCATCCCAGAGTGGCACGCGGAAGAACAGGGCGCGGCCGCACTGGACGTCGTCTACCATCGAGGCCTCCACGGCCGGATGTGTCTCGACATCAGCTTGGTGGACGAGGTGGCCGTGGCCCAGACGGGGCGGCCGCATCAGGCATCCCTGCGCCGCAGAGAAAAAGTGAAGCACCGTAGATGCCCATTTTCTGGCCTGGTGCCCTTTGTTCTCGATGTCAATGGCCGCTGGGGCGCAGAGGCGGAGACGTGGCTGCGCCGTGCCGTAGGGGAATTGCCCGAGGCCGAACGGCCCGCAGCGCGCTCGTCCCTGCGCTCGGCAGTGGCCAACGCCCTGCAGGGCCAAATCGCTGAGCAGGTCGCCCTGGCGACGGAAGACGTAGTCGGGCTGGGCGCCGGGGTCGCCCCGAGTGCCTGGTCTTGACTAGATGTGGCTCCCTCCCACACGTGTGTGCCCCCTGCCCCTTCCCCCCCTGCTGGCCTGCCTGCTGCCCGCCTCCCCCTCCTCACCGGCGCGCCCTGTGGTGCGTTTGGTGTATGATTGTTCAATATCTTGGCAAAAGTGCTCGCTCCCGCCTCGGCGCCGGTAGCTGTTTTGGTATTCTGGGGGGCCCGATGCTATATTTTTCCCATCCGAGCGCCCTCTCCAAAAACACCGGGTGTCGCTGCAGACCGGTGTTTTTAATCTGTCAGGCCGGCTGTGCGCCTAGCCATTTTGGCTTGCCATCCTGGCCTCTTCTCGCGCCTACTTGCACTCGTTGGCCTCGCTGGCGGTGCTGGGGTCGCCCCGTGTGCTGCTGTGCCGCCGCTGTGCGCCTAGCCATTTTGGCTTGCCATCCTGGCCTCTTCTCGCGCCTACTTGCGCTCGTTGGCCTCGATGGCGGTGCTGGGGTCGCCCCGTGTGCTGCTGTGCCGCCGCTGTCGCTTTACTCTGGGCAGTAGGGGCCAGCTGCCCTCGGATAAGCGCCCGCCGCTGCATGCACGTCAGACCCGCCATTTCACCCAGAAGAGGTGCTCGCTACATACTGGAAATGAGGCAGCCACAAGGACGCTCATCCCAAGGCGGTTGAGCCGTGGTGATGTGGTGCACGAGACCGAGTAGTAGTAGTAGTAGTAGTAGTAGTAGTAGTAGTAGTAGTAGTAGTAGTAGTAGTAGTAGTAGTCGTAGTCGTAGTCGTAGTAGTAGTAGTAGTAGTAGTAGTAGTAGTAGTAGTAGTAGTAGTCGTAGTCGTAGTCGTAGTCGTAGTCGTAGTATTAGTCGTAGTAGTACTAGTAGTAGCAGTAGTAGCAGTAGTAGTAGTAGTAGTAGTAGTAGTAGTAGTAGTAGTAGTAGTAATAGTAGTAGTAGTAGTAGTAGTAGTAAGTAGTAAGTAGTAAGTAGTAAGTAGTTAGTAGTTAGTATTAAGTAGTAGTAGTAGTAGTAGTAGTAGTAGTAGTAAGTAGTATTATAGTAGGACTGTAGTAGTGGTAGTAGTAGTAGTAGTAGTAGTGGTAGTAGTTGGTAGTAGTATTAGTAGTAGTAGTAGTAGTGGTAGTAGTAGTAGTAGTTAGTAGTGTCCGTAGTAGTTCCGTAGTAGTAGAGTAGTAGTATAGTAGTAGTGTAGTAGTAGTATAGTAGTAGTAGTAAGTAGTACTAGTAGTGGTAGTAGTATTAGTAGTAGTAGTAGTAAGTAGTAGAGTAGTAGTAGTAAGTAGTGGTATGTAAGTAGTAAGTAGTGTGGTAGTAGTAGTAGTAGTAGTATCGGAAGTAGAGTAGTGGTAAGTGGTAGTGTTAGTGGTAATGTGGTCGTAGTAGTCTAGTAGTAGTAGTAGTCCGTCGTAGTTGTAGAGTCGTAAGTAGTAGTAGTAGTAGTAGTAGTAGTAGTAGTAGTAGTAGTAGTAGAAGTAGTAGTAATAGTAGTAGAAGTAGTAGTAGTAGTAGTAGTAGTAGTAGTAGTAGTAGTAGTAGTAGTCGTAGTGGTAGTCGTAGTAGTAGTCGTAGTAGTAGTCGTAGTAGTCGTAGTAGTCGTAGTAGTTGTAGTAGTTGTAGTAGTAATGGTGGTGGTAGTAGTCGTAGTCGTCATAGTAGTAGTAATTCTCCAGATAGGCTTGCCCTATAGGAGTTCGAATTCGAGCCTTACTAATTGGTCAACTGCCTTCCCCCTAATTCCTATGCCCCCCCTAATTCCTATGGCCCCCCTCCTCATTGTAGTGGCGTCTGGCCAGTGCCGCCGATCGGGGGTGCTGCCGATTCTGCTTGCAACTGATGACTTTTTATGTGTACAAGCAGAGCACTCGCTCGAGACATCCTCATAATATAGAGATGTTGAACTCGCTTGGCAACCTTCGGATATTCGAAAGTGACTCGCGTGAACAGCCAAACTCATGGGATGTCCCCTCCCACCTTCCGGGCCTGAATGGCTGAGGGGTGCCACCGAATTCAGACATGTGGTAAATCTTTTGTGTTTTTGGACCCTGACCCCGCCGATCTGCGTGAGGGGTGTCAATTTTTACCCACCCCAGCAATTCAGACAACACGCTCAGGGCGTGGTAAAAATGCCCGTTTTGGGCCTCCCCCCCTCGCGCGGTCGATCAGCAAGGAACAGTAAGCAACAAGAAGCATAACTGTAACAAGGAACAGTAAACAGCAAAAAGCAGAACTGTAACAGTGGAGCCTGGAAGCTGCAACTGGCACAGGAAACTGCAAACCTTCGTCCTACAGCCTGGTGGCCCCACAAGGAGGCCAGCGGATTTCTGGTCCCGCAGACATCGTCATTTGTCATTGATTATGCACAAAACGCTCCGCACCTTGTGTTTACGAGGGAAGACAAAGCGGATATCCGCTTGCCTTCGCAAGTTCAGGGCCGGCACATTCACCAGCTAAAAGAGAACCCTGGCCCATGCCATGTCTGGTGAAGAGTGCTTGCAATAATGGTGCGACGGGGAGGAGGAGGAGGAGGAGGAGGAGGAGGAGGAGGAGGAGGAGGAAGGAGGAGGAGGAGGAGGAGGAGGAGGAGGAGGAGGAGGAGGTAGGAGGAGGAGAGGAGGAGGAGGAGGAGGAGGAGGAGGAGGAGGAGGAGGAGGAGGAGTGAGGAGGAGGAGGAGGAGGAGGAGGAGGAGGAGGAGGAGGAGGAGGAGGAGGAGGAGGAGGAGAGGAGAGGAGGAGTAGGAGGAGGAGGAGGAGGAGGAGGAGGAGGAGGAGGAGGAGGCGGAGGAAGGAGGAGGAGGAGGAGGAGGAGGCGAGGAGGAGGAGAGGAGGAGGAGGAGGAGGAGGAGGAGAGGCGGCGGAGGAGGAAGGAGGAGAGGAGGAGGAGGAGGAGAGGAGGAGGAGGAGGGAGGAGGAGGAGGAGGGGAGGAGGAGAAGAGGATGAGGAGGAGGAGGAGGATGAGGAGGAGGGAGAGGAGGAGGAGGAGGAGGAGGAGGAGGAGGAGGAGGAGGAGGAGGAGAGAGGAGGAGGAGGAGGGAGGAGGAGGAGGAGGAGGAGGAGGAGGAGGAGGAGGAGGAGGAGGAGGAGGAGGAGGAGGAGGAGGAGGAGGAGGAGGAGGAGGAGGAGGAGAGGAGGAGGAGGAGGAGGAGGAGGAGGCGGAGGAGGAGGAGGAGGAGGAGGAAGGAGGAGGAGGAGGAGGAGGAGGAGGAGGTAGGAGGGGAGAGAGGAGGAGGAGGAGGGAGGAGCAGGAGGGAGGAGCAGAGGAGCAGGAGGAGCAGCAGCAGCAGCAGCAGCAGCAGCAGCAGCAGCAGCAGCAGCAGCAGCAACAGCAGCAGCAGCAGCAGCAGCAGCAGCAGGAGGAGGAGGAGGAGGAGGAGGAGGAGGAGGAAAAGGAGGGAAAAGGAGGAGGAGGGGGATGGGAGCAGGGGGACTGGCGTGGTGTAGGGGAGAAGGGGATGATGAGAGAGAAGGAGAGGGATGCGGAGAAGGAGGAGGAGGAGGAGGAGGAGGAGGAGGAGGAGGAGGAGGAAGTGGAGGAGAAGGAGGAGGAGGCGCTGGTTGAAGGGAAGAGGATAATGAGGAGGGTGCGGGGGAGAGAAGGTCGTCCAATGTCCAGTCCTGGCCCTGCTATCGCCACGCCGGGGTTGAAGTGTGGAACCTGGCAGCTCGGCAAGCTCTCACTCCTGAGCTCCTCCTCATGCTTTCCCTCTACGGCGCGGCATCCTCCCCATCGCGATGCGAAGGTGGACGTGGACAACTGCCAGTTCGAGCTCTCGCTTCCTGGCCTGTCGCGGCCTTGAACCGCCGACCGGCCCGCTCACCGGTCGCCCCGGCTGCGATGGACTTCGGCCACCGACGGTCAGCTCGGGGACGATCGACGAAGTGGGCACGCGCAGGTCGTTGAGAGCAGGTATTTCTGGATGCTCAATTCCCACTCTACTTTAGGCGCCTTCCTGCTTCAGGAGTCGAGTGGCATTCCCTCTGCCCTCGTCCTCGGGGGGCGGGCGGCAGCCCAGTCTGCTTTCAACGCCTTCCTACCTCATGCTTCCACCCACTTCCTCGGACCGATGGGTACGGAAAGAACGGGTACAAATCAGGAGGGGAAAAAACACACAGACCCCATTAATCGTCGATTCCCCAGAAAACATGGGAAAATATGGGCAGTGGGGGGGAAGACAAAACCCCCGAAAAGATGGGAAAATATGTGGAATCCTTCTATTTGCGTGTATTTATTTGTGTGTCCCTGGGCCCCTTCAACAAAGACCGACAGGATCTCTTGCTCCTCTTGAACGGGATTCGCCGTCGGTGCCGCCGCGGGCCTCGTGTGCACGTGAGGCAGGAGGCCGCCTGCTCTACAGCGGCCGCTGTCGGTTTTGGACAGCATTTCCTTTTCCCTCCTTTTCCTCCTCCTCCTGCTGCTGCTGCTGCTCCTCCTCCTCCTCCTCCTGCTGCTCCTCCTCCTCCTCCTCCTTCTCCTCCTCCTCCTCCTCCTGGTGTTGTGCATCGTACCCATTTTTTCCGTACCCATTTCGGGCGGCCACAAGGGCCAACGTTAGGGGGGGATGAGCTCAGGGGGGGGGATGCGTCGACTCGCAATCGCCCACTGATCGCCCACAGGTGCCTGATAGCCCACCCCGCCCAGGACCACGCGGATTCGCCATCGGGGGCCCATCGCCGATCCATCAGCGATGTATCGCCGATTCTCGGTCGATGTCGGCCCCCTGAGCTAGTCACCCCCCCGGACGTTCCCCCATCAGTCAGGACGGGAAAAACACACACACACAGACACAATTACTAACCGTCGATCCCCAGGAAAATGGGGGAACATACGGGAAGCGGGGGTGAAGACAGACCCAGAAACGTGTGGGAAAAAACATGGGGGCTTCTGTCAGTCGCGTGGGTCTCTCTGCGTGTCCCGGGGCCCCCTCCATCGGGAGCGTGGCCTGCCTCCCTTGGTCTCCGAAGCCCCTCGAGACCCCCACTGCCCCCCCCCCCCAAAAAAAGAAGAAGAAGAAGAAAGAAACAACAACACGTCGGGAGCGGGGCCCGCCCGATCCTCAGGCCGGGAGGGCACCCCGAAGCGCCCTCTGGGCACCCCGTCGCCCCGCTGCGGCCCCGACGCCGCTCGGGCTCCGGCCTCGGCCGCGGCGGCGCTGCCCCCGCGCGTCGAGGTCGGCGCTGGTGGCGGGCCGGGGGCGGCGCATCGCCGACTTCCGGGAGGGCGACGTCGTGAGCGGCACCGTCGTCTTCCGGGGCGACGGCCGCACGTATCCGACGGGCCCGTTGTCCACCACCACCACCATAAGTTGGAGGGGGCGGGGGTCCTCCACCTCCTCCTCCTCCTCCTCCTCCTCCTCCTCCTCCTCTTCGTCCTCCTCGTCCTCCTCCTCGTCCTCCTCCTCCTCGTCCTCCTCCTCCTCCTCCTCCTCCTCCTCCTCCTCCTCCTGCTCCTCCTTCCCCCCTCCAGCTTGTGGTGGTGGTGGCGGGAAGCAGGCCCGTCAGCATCTGGACTTCGGGGTGGCGGGGTGGCGCGCCGTGCTCCCGCACAACCGCGCGCCGAACGCCCCGCTCCGGGCCAGCCGGGTCGTGGAGGGCCTCCGCATCGAGAAGGCCGTCGCGGCTCCCCCGCGCGGGCGCCGCCGCCGTCGCGTGCCCTCTCTGCTCTGCCTCTCGGGTCGGGCGAAAGGGGGGGATTGGGAAAGGGGGGGTTACGAAATTTGCTGCATGCAGCTGGTTTCGGCCTCACCGAGGGGCCCATTCCTCGATACATGGGCGCCTCCCGGCGCCGGGAGGCGCCGGGAAAATCAGCTACGCGAGCTGATTCTCAAACCCCCCCTTTGCTATCCCCCCCTTTCGCCCGACCCGAGCCTCGGGTCCCCGCGGCGATGGCAGGCGGCAGTGGTAGAAGGCTTGGTCCCTCAGGGTCCACTGCGTCTGATTTCTAACTACCTCCACGCTCCACCTCGCCATCGTCGTCGCCCTCTTCCTCCCCATGCCGAAAGTGGGAGGGGTTTGAGCGAGTGGAAAACGACTGGCTGTTTCTACCCTGTATTCGAAACATCTTCTTTCTTGCCCAATGACGACTCCCGCGCGGTGGGAAGGGAGGAGGATCGTTGCGGTAAGACTTGATGGCGCGAGTGGGTGGATGTTCCGAGTGGCTTGAGAGGGGGGAGAAACAGGATGATGGATGAGATGAGGAGGAGGAGAAGGAGGAGGAGGCTGAACCAACTTCTTGAGGAGGCTACGGAGTTGATGTGCTATCCTCTCCTTCTCTCTCTTCCTCACAAACTGGGGTCGAGCCCCACAGTTTTGTCTTACCTCACCTTTTCCCGAATTAGCCCCCCCTCCCACCCAGGTCCTTGCCAGGTGGGAGGGGCAGGAAAGGTGCGCACGGCTACAGACATATTCTCTTTCAGCCAGCAGCAGGAGGAGCAGGAGGAGGAGGAGGAGGCGGAGGAGGAGGAGGAGGAGGCTGATTCAGGCTGATTCAGAGCATGGAGCGAGCTCCATCGCGTCCAGCGAACACCTGATACAAACGTCGGAGGTTGGGGGGTGAGATCGCAGTGAAACGGAGACCCCCCACCAGGAAATCGGTTTCGGTTTCGTGTTCGTGTCGTGCGTGCGTGCGAGGCTAGATGTCAGTCAGGGTGGGCATTTGATCTCAATCCCCCCCCCAACCTCCTTATCGCCCGCAGGGCGGTCGTATAGGTAAGAAGTAAAGTTAAGGGGAGCCCATGGTCCCCCAGGGTCTACCGCTCCCTGGCCCCGCCTCGCGCGCTCCGCGAGGCACTAATCGACCGCCTCCCGCGGATCTGAGAAGCCATGCAACGCAGCGACCCTGTGCATATCGAGAGCTCAGGGGAGCGCCCTGGGCCTTGGGCGGCAGCTAATTCACGGTGGGGGGCGCCTGGGGTGCCCTGGGAGGGCCCTGGGGGCTTCCCGAATCGCCACGGAGCGTCCCTGGCGCGCCCAGGAGCGCCCTGGGCCCTGGGCGGCAGCTAACTCACCGTGGGGGGCGCCTGGGCCAACCCGCAGGTGGCTTCTGCACGCTCTGACCCCGAACCGGAAGACACTCTCCGCTTCCCCGCCCACCGCGCTCGGACTTCCCGCGGCGGAGAAGCGACCGACTCGAGCCGTGGGGGCGGGGACAGAGTTGAACTTGGATGCAAGCCTCTCCGAAGCCTGCTCCTTTGGGTGCCCAGCCCTGGGTGCCGGCTGCCCTTGCAGATGCCGGCGAGCCCCGAACCAGGTCTGAAGAGCTTTTCTGCACGCTGTGGCGCTGCAGCCCGTGCAGAAGAGAGCAGGAGGCTCACCGTCGGAGCCCTGCACCTCAGCCTGAACGATCCCATGCCCCTGAAACAGCCACGGCCTCAGCATGCTGCCACTGCTTCCGACTGCAGCGCTCGCCGCCGCCGCGGGCGGCACAGCCGTTCTGGCCGGGCTGGGATACAGTGCAGGTGGGAGGGCAATGCGAGATTGGAGCCGCGACCGCTGCTCGCAATGCCTCGCCCACTCGCTGGCCTCGTCTGGCCCAAGGCTAGAAGCATCGAAATCGAAGTCAAGGACAACATCGGCCGTTCCGCTGACGCCGTCAGTGTCCTTGAGGCCTGCCTGGTGGAGCCACTCATGGAGTTTCCCCATCCACACAGCAGCGTCCTCCGCCCACCGCTCGCAATCCTCCACAAAGACTTTCTGCTCCGGGGGCATCTCCCAAAGCTGAGCCCCTTTTTTCGCCCACTCATCCGCGAGGCGATTACCGCGAAGCTTATACACATCTTCCAAAGACGTGGCGTCCTGGAGGCTTCGATGTGCCTTGACCTTCACGACAGATGCGGAAGAACCTACCTTGTCCCACCAAAGCTTCCAATGGTGGCGCCGCTCATTTCCAGGATCCAGAGCTTTGGCCGAATTCGTGGCGCAGCTCACGGAGCCGGCACAATCGCTGAACATTTCAAGCGGCACCCCGGAATCACCTTCAGACGGAGGCTCCGAAAAACGAGCAAGCATGTGAAGCGCGTAATCCTCCCTGTCCCGCGCCCACTGCTCAGGGCCCCAAGCCTTCGAAACCAACCCGTACATGGAGGCCGCAAAATTGCCCGCCTGATCTCTTTGCACTGCAGCCCAGCCCGCACGTCTACAAGAACCGTGATTGGTGCTGACGGCCGATCCGTCCACGGAGACAGCCCCCCCTAGAGCCGCCCAGGATGGGCGCCAACAAATCTGACCCAGTGCTCCTCTGGAGCCTCGGGCCGGCCGAAACAGAGCTCAGGGGAAGGAAAAAGTCAACGAGGAAAAAGCTCGGCCACGTCAGCGCCCAACTTGCTCACGCGACAGGTAGCGACACCGAACGATTTCGGCATGCCCGTGCGCCTGAGGCTGGCAGAGCACGGGCAATCGAACCCCCTGTGAGAAAGAGTGCCTGGACAGCCACATAAATTGCGCAAGTCAGACACTGACAGCCCGTGCGTTCCAAAACGCTGTTGCTGGCAGTGTAACTATGAGAGCTAGTGAAATTCTTGCAGTATTGAAAACGAATTAAGCGGCGTTAAGGCGAGAGCCATATTTTGAAAACGAACCGCCCTCAATCCGTGAAGCTCTTGATGCAACGTTTGACAACGAATGCGTGCGGCGCTAAGGCGAGAGCCACACTTAAAAAACGAATCGCTCTGAATCCGTGAAGCTCTGGCAAGTTTGTAACATGAATCCGCGTGGCGCTAAGGCGAGAGCCGCATTTCGAAACCAACCTGTCCTCCATCCGTGAAGCTCTTGCAATTTTTAGAACATGAATTTGCGCGGAGCTCTGGCGAGAGCCGCATTTTGAAAACGACCTGTCTTCAATCCTTCGCATTCTTGCAAGTTTTTGAAAATAATGCGCGGTACTAAGGCCAGAACCACATTTTGGAAGGGACTCGCCCTCCATTTGTGAAGCTGTTGCCAGTTAGGAACGAAAGGAAGCCTCAGGCGAAATGTCTGGCTCGCACTTCCGACTGGCTTCGGGGTGCGACAGGGAGGACTTATTCAGAAGGAACAATAGTGGAGGAGGAGTTGAAGGAGGAGGAGGAGGAGGGGGGAAGAGGAGGAGGAGGAGGAGGAGGAGGAGGAGGAGGACGAGGAGGAGGAGGACGAGGATGAGGAGGAGGAGGAGGAGGGGGCGGAGGAGGAGGAGAAGCAGCAGCAGCAGGGAGGGTAGTCACTGCTGTCAGTTAGGGCACGGGTGGTTCCCTTCAAAGGCCAATTTGTGGTGCTTTTCGATGAATGGGGATACCAACCTCGTGGCCTAAAACTGGAGATAGCGGATGACTACGCTGATGAGGTACTTAGTGCGGAGCACCCGGCGGTGTTCCACCTCACTATCGCGCTCGCTGGCCTCCACCTCCTCCTCACCCCATGCCCGCTGGTGATCCTCACGAATCAGGGCCCTACGGGGTGACGTCCCAAAAGGGGAAACGAACTTGCCCTAGCAGTGGTCCGCATTTTTGCATTTTTACCGTAGGTTCTGGCTCGTTTCTTCCTCATCCTCGCTGATCACCCACCTTCCTACCCTCGATTCGTGAAAGTGTGATTTCCTCAAGGGGGACAGTGTCGACCCCCCGGACATCTGACTGATGCTTGGGGTTTGGCGATCCTGTCGAATCGCGGGCTGTGCGTGATGCAACGTAGGAGGGGCCAACACCCCAAAGTGCGGGCACAGTCAGATGCGGGGTATATTCGATCCAACTGAATCGACTGGCCAAGGGCTACATGTGAACTCCTCGAGTCCGTAGCTCGCGGCCTCGGTGTCCCTAACATCTATCTCGAGGTGCGGAATAAGGGTTTGAAGTCCCGAGCCCCCGTCACGTGAGCAAAATAGTCCACTGGGAGGGGCAGTGGCCGGTCCAAATGAATTCGACAGGTGGAGAGCTACATTTTAAATCCTGGAGTCTGTAGCTCTCTGCCTCTGCGCCTCAAAAGCCGATCCTTCGTGTCGGAATTAGGTTTGGGAAGCACTATTGGGGTGACCTTGTGAAATACATTTGCTCAGTTCGTTCGCCATATGTTGACCCTCCATCCATGCCCCCTGCCCGCCCAGCACTCTCTCCATCCAGCTCCTCCCACGCGATGTTGCATCATGTTCGGCGATCCCTTTGACGGAAGAGCCGCCCGGCATGCCATGCAGATTCCCCCCCCGAGTTTTTGGCTGAAGTCTGTAGCCGAAGCATTTGCAGTAAAGTGCCCGGCTGAAGTTAGCAGCCGAAGCACTTGCAGTAAAGTGTCCGGTTGAAGGTTCTCGACTTGCAGCTCAAGGGATGGGCATATTTTCACAGGAAGCCAAGGTTCCCCAGCACGCGCCCTGAGGACGGCCCGGGGAGGTCGTCTGCATGTATCGTCCCACCCCCGCAACACTAAATAAATGTCGCGGAGTTGATGCGTCACGGAATTTGTGCAAGACGGCACTCCGAAATATAGGACTTGAATGTCACGGAGACGGTTCGTCACGGATTCGGTGCGCCACCGACGCCGTTGGCGCACCAAGCGCACAATGTGAGGCAACGGGCCCAACGCTATCGCGATGCTCCCAGGCCCTCCAATAGGGGGAGGAGGGAGGAGGGAGGAGGGAGGAGGGAGGAGGA